ATACTTTGTTGTCATTTTATTTTAAAAATAATGTGTTTTATTATGCATAAATTTCGTGTTTTAAATATTATTTATGGCTTCTAAATATTAAAAATCAATTTAATTTTGCATTTTTATTTGAAATAAAAATTTTATTGTTTATAATATTTTATGTTGTGGATGATGTAATCAATGGCATCACCTTACTTTAAAAGTAATTAGTTTTAATATCTATAAATTTAATCTAATGTTTTAAACATTATTTACGGCTGTTAGATATTAAAATACAATTTAATTTTGCATTTTTTTAAAATGGTTTTATTATGTATAATTATTTAAATAATTTTAATTCTAGGCATGATGTAATCAGCTCTCTGATCAGTTATAGAATATTTGTGCATTAACGAGCTGCAATCAGCTCCCTGATCGGTTAATGAAAATTTGTGCATTACCACGCCATTTTAAAATTGAATTCACATCTTTGAATTCCTTCAAAGATGAATGTTGTTATTGGTAAATAGCAAGAATTATTGATATAGGAATCAAAAAATTGTCCTTTGTACTTCAGGAAGGGGTGGTTAAAGGATCTTCAAAATGTTAAAAACAATACCTATTATTGGAGGTGTTTCTCCCCCCCCCCATTTTTTTTGTTATTTTTAATCTTTATGATCCATTAATTTGGCTCTAAATTGCTTTATCTATCTATAATTTTTTTTTAAATTTTTATTCCTGCCCTTGCTTGATATTACATTTTTCAATTTTTTTTCATTGACATCTAAATTATGATTCTGATTTTTTTGTGGTACTTAACAATAAACGACAGGTTAAATGACTAAAAAAAAAAATGTAATTACATATTTTCTTTAATTTTTATAATTGTATACTTCAATTTTTGTTAAAAATTAGTACACTATTTTCAAAAATTGCTGAGTTAATTATTGTCACATATGTTTTAATGTTAATTATATTCTATATAACATAAAGTATTTGAATTTAGTAATATTTTAATTCTTTTAAATGTTGGTACAACGTTTTTAATTCGATATTCAATTTAAGTAATATTTTAATCTAATTAAACATTGGCATTCTTTGCTATATGAAAGTAATAATAACCATACTTTAATTTAATACTTGACTTTACTTGCTTGTTTCTCAAAAGTATTTTCCTTTTAGAACTTTATTCTTAAATTTAAATTTAATTCTTAAATGTTAATTTCTAAGGGTACCACTTTATTGGTATTTCTTGTTACTTTTGGTTTTGACTTTTACCCTTACCTGCATGAATGACGAAACACGAACTGAATGATTGGAGAGTTAGGTTTGGAGGCAACTTCCCCTTGATAAGTCTGTCTCCCGCCTACTCAACAGTCATTCACTTATGCATTTTTAAAAAAATTGTTTAGTTTAATTTTAATTTGCTAAATTAGTGAATTTATTTTCATGGATTGGTTTTACACTTGATTTGCTTATGCTTCTGAATTTAAATGATATTGTAGAGATTAGTTCTAGAATTAAATCTTTTATATGTTTGCACATTTTTTAAAAAATTATTTTGGCTTTTTTTCTTTTTTGAGGCATTAAATTTGCTTTTTTACTTTTATAAGTGTGTTAAAATTTAAATTTGTTTAAATTTAAGCATACTTTAGTATTTTATACTTGTAGTAATTATATTTATTTACACTTGCCTGCCATCTTAAGACACGACATTTTCCACAAAAAATTAATCCATTACTTTTAACGATATCAGGGGTTGGACAAAAGTATGGAAACACCTTTAAAAAAACATGTTTCTTTGCTTAATATGGTGTAGGAAACCCGTTGGCATCCAAAACAGCTTGCAGTCTTCTCGGAATGGATAAATACAGTTCCTGTATGTTTGCCAAGGGAATAGTATACAGTCAAAAGTCGTTAATTCGGATCTCAAAACTAAAAACTTTCTGCGCATGGGCATAGGCGTTTACGCGTGCGCGTAAGACCTTTTACGACTGCGCATATGAGTGTGCGCAAGTGCAGAATATGTTTTCGCGTGCGCGTTTTATGTATAATGGACGTATAAGCTAAAATTATCGAATTATCTATTTCAGTTAATGTTGATGATTGCGTTGTTCCTTAATTTTCGAATTGGATCCAGCTTGTTATTTTTTGCAGACTGTAAGAGCAATTTTATAAAAGTAAGCTTAAACTTTCGATTATTCAAATAGAATTTTCCTATATATATTTGTTAACATGTAAAGGATCTAAAGCGAAAAGTATGTTTTTGAAATCCGAAATCTGTTTATCAATTTCACGCTGCTCGGCGGCGGGCGCGTAATGAATTGGAAGTTGATCTGTCAGCACTATCCTTATCTTCAGAGCAGATGTTTTTATTTTATTTGGCTTATAATTCCTTACCAAATTAGTATTTCATCTCGATGTGCTCCGTCTTTGATATGATTTAAAACAAGTTCCTCGTCATTAAAATTCGCTTCCGATAGCGAAGAAAGTGACAAAGGTTAGTGAAAACGAAAAAATTTCGATTGACAAATTAGTCAGTGATCTCGACACAGCAATTATAGGACTTGAACAGTGGAACTTTGTAACTGAACAAGAAATTATGTCTGTTTAACAGAATTAAAGAGAAAGTATTATCACATGAAACGAAGCAAAACTTAAACAACTTACATTGAAAGAAATGTTTAATAAAGTAAACAAATAAATATTAAGCTTTTTCTTTTTGCAAATTTTGATACCCTTTAGATCATAATTGTTCTTTATTTCATAAATTACGGTTTCGTATTTTTAATTTTAGAATTTCTGCATGCCATCTTACGAGATTTAAACTGATGATCTATAATCCGGAAAAATCGATAATGCGGAATAGCCGAAGTCCCGACGAGTCCGGATTAACAACTTTTGACTGTACCATTCTTCCTGCAAAACGGTGGCAAGTTCAGATAACGATGTTGGCGGTAGATAACGAGAATGCACTTTTCGTTCCAATGTTGACCACAAAGGTTCAATAATATTCAGGTCTGGTGACTGTGGTGGCCAGGGGAAATGGGACAACTCATCTTCGTGCTCAGAAAACCAGTCCTGGACAATGTGAGCCGTGTGAACAGGGGCTTTGTCGTCTTGGAAGACAACATCACCATCAGGGAACAAAGTTTGTACCATGGGATGAACTTGATCGGCCAAAATGTTCACATAAGTCTTGGCAGTCATGTGCCCTGACACAGTTATGGGGCTAGAAGAGAACCACAATATGGCTGCCCAAACCAAAACAGAACCCCCGCCATGTTTCACTCTTGGCAACAAGCAGTCTGTTGCCAAGAGTGAAACATGGCGGGGTATATTATAGGCTTGAGATGGCGTTCTCCAGACGTAAACTCGGCCAGAAGTGGGGAAACAATGTGAAAGAAGACTCGTCAGACCATATTACTCGCTTCCACTGCTCTATAGTCCAGGCTTTATGACTTAAACACCACCTTTCCTGTTACGGGCATTAGCATCACTGATGAGTGGATTCTCAATTGCAGCATGGCCACAATTCCCTGTTATGAAGCTCCCTTCTAATTGTTTTAGTATCACAGGGTTCGGTAACACAACATTCATTTCAGCAGTAACTTTTGCAGCTGTGGTCTTCTTATTTTCGTCACAATTGCCCTTAATGATCGTCTGTCCACGATCACTCAGGACACACTTTCGTCCGCGCGTGATTTAGCAGATGATGTTTTCCACTTTTCAAACATGCGGAATAAATCTTCGATACAGTATGAAACACTAAACAACCTCGGCTATCTTGCTTATGGAAGCACCTACCATACGTGCTCCAACAATTTGCCCACGTTCGAAGTCTGTTAACTCTGACATAATGCAATGACAACCTCATATAACAGTACTCCGGCAACAACTGAACTGTTTAGCACATTTACGAAGTTGTATAGGTGGCGTCAGTAGTCAAAAACGCCAGCGCCACCTACATATTTCATTAAAATTAATCTTTCTTTTCAAACATGCATTTCACAAGGTGTTTCCATATTTTTTTCCATCCACTATTTTTTTTTTTTTTTTAAGTTTCAAATACTTTGCATAAAAACAGCGTTTTTTAAGATGGGTAACAATTGTAAAAACTGCGCTAGCGTAAATCACCAAAAATCCATGCAACTGTCTCCCAGAGTAACACCAATGCAATAAATTAGGAAAGTTTACAATTGAGTGCTCGTTGTTTCTTGGTGATTCTTTTTTTATGCCAAGATCAGCACTAGGAAGGCACAATTTCAAGATGGTCGCTATACAAAACCAAAATAAAAAGTCAAAGAATTGCACAAACTCTGTGTCCATGTACACAAGTCGAATAATATGTACACATTGATCTGTTTTCACTTAAACTTGTCCATATACACATCAATCTATTTTCATTTAAATAAAATCAAGAAGCTAACACAAAGTTAAAACTATTATGGTAACCAGAAGTGAGGTTTCATTGCCAAAATTAAAAAAAAATTGTCACTAATCGAAGGGACACCCAATTCTACACTAGAGCCTAAATTAGTAAAAAGGAATACATTAACACATATTTTCAAAATATATAAGAAAATATAATATTATATAATTATTGTATATAAATATATAAGCATGAAAATATATCATACAGAAAAAGAAATAATTCCTTAGACTCTTAACACAAATCATTCTTGTATCCTTTAATAAGATACATGTTGGCAAACTTCCAAAAATATTTTGTTATTCAATACAATTCAGTGAAATTTACGTAACAAGTAAAAGTGAAAATTTCAAATCCTATAAATTACAATAATACCATTGAAATGCAAAGTTTATTAACAATTACACATTTTAATCTTTTGATACAAACTGTATATTAGAAACATGCATGTGTTATATGAGATGTTGGTGTGGTGCATTCACAAAAATGTAAAATTTGAGCAACTTAAGTTTGAGCCAAACGCATTGGCTCAAACTCAAAGGCTTTAAATCCAAGGCATTAAAGGTTTGGAAATTTTTTCTGATTTTAAAACACTAACCTGTTAGAAAAGGTATGAGCTCACTCCTCGTCCTTTCTACTCCTAATGCTAGAGCTATAGTGGAGAGTTTCTTTATACTATTTAGTCTCAACTGAAATCAGAAGGGGTAAAAAAAGATATATATATATACATAGAGAAAAATCACATAATAAAAGGAAAAACGAATTAGCACATGATACTACTTAACGACGCGCAATATAAAAATGCATCATGAAATAAACAAAATTCTAATCGAAACGCTATTTTAATCGTAAATTTTTGTTAATTTTGCAAATATTAATTGATGATATATTATTTATGCACAAAATATCAATTACACATCAGAGAACAATATATAACATTCTGTATCATTCAGACAGAGATAAATAATTACTTGAACATCTTCGTTTCGGAGTTCATCAATAAGTACAGCGATAGGATATAAAGAATCATCCGTGTTCGAATCACTCGAGGCCATTCTGAAAAAAATGCGGCATTTATATAAACGTATATAAAACAGCAATGATGAGGAATTATAATTTTAAATACGTAATGCCAAGACAAGAAAAAACAAACCGTACAACTAGGCTTAATTTACACAACTATAATGCAGTAAACAACAACTTCAAGAAATATCTGAAGCATAACACGTATTTTGAAATAAAAAAGACACTCTTTGCATCAGCTTACCTGTATTAAGTCACTATGTAAAGTTTTTACACTTTTTTTAACTAAGGACCACACCAAACACTATTCATACATGTACAGAAAATTTGTAAAGAAAACTTCACCTAACCTATGTCATTAATATCCGTTGCACCCATATTCTAATATTCGTAAGTGAAAAAATATTCAAAAGAGGGCGCTGAATAACGTACCATAAACAGTGTGATACTTAACAAGACAGATTAAAACACGTTAGAAAATAAATTCCTGAAGATAAATCTCTTTTGCTTAATTCTTCCATTTACTATAATTAAAATGCTATTTTGTTTTCTTTTCAGTAACGTATACCTGATAAATTAAAAGGAAAAGCCATAAGCGTTGGTAAGTCAATGTTGGTTTGAATAAAAGTGGAAGAACCCGGCCTTAAACCATAAATTAAAAAGAAAAAATTAAATAAAAATAATAATAAAATTTAATATATCATAATAAAATTGTTTTTTTTTAAAACTTTATTATATTAGGTACATTTAGTTTTCCCTTTATATGACCATTATTTCTTCCCTTCTCTTTTTTGTTTTTAAAGGGGAAAAAATGCGATGAAATGGAATGCAGTTTATTTAGCTTAGTTGTAAGTAACATGATAATCTGTCTACCAATCTATATTTTTTAACTCCCGTTCCATTCTTTGAATAACACTGTGGAAAAACAATTTTAAATCTTGTCCCGAAAGTGGCTGCCATCAGCCCAGTATATGCAACCCAGTTTTCCTTAGAAAGTCCTCCCTGAAAGCATCCTTTCCCTTAGGCATATAGCCCTAGAGGTCTTTCTGGAATTAAATAAGCCAAACTTACTTCGTAAGTACAGCTTTTTTTTCACAGGATGCCAGCACCTTTGCACACGGTTTATTCTGGCGAGGGAAACTGCTTCTGCTTACGTTCTTCCTTTTAAGCAAGAGAGTATCTGGCAACTTTTAGAAGATTTAGGGAAAGATAAGTTTAGCGGCTGGCACAAAGATGAAATTTTTAAGCTTAAGGATACTAACGAACAGAAAATTCAAACTAAGCAGCACCTTTCAATCATGCAAACCGAAGCTATTCTGGATTTACTGAATGTACACGCATGTAATTATTGAGAATAATTTAAACCATCACCATGCAAGAATAATTTAAACCATCACCATGCATCAATCTCGAGTCGTTGTTTAAATTCTTGAGAATAATTTAAACGACGACTTGGAAAGTAAAGCTCAAAAGCAGTCTGCGGATAAGTGTTTTAAAAAACCAAGAAAAACTCATAAACATAATGTTTCTCAAACTGAGATAGAAAAAATTCCACACCAAAAAAAAAAAAAAAAAAAAAAAAAAAAGTTTAAAGATCTGAAACAAGATGATGACATGGAAAAAGAAATTGCAGTTTCCAATACTGAATCACAGCAGATCTAAGAAAAAAGAAGGTCGTATACCTCGAATTTTTATCTCTGATTTCGAACCTTAACTGGAAAAATTTTAAAGCCCAGATAGCGGCTTAAAACATATAAAAGGGGACCTCAAAAGGTGTAACATGACAACTAGCATGTTCAACTCAAGCGATTACAGAAATATCACTTAGATGTGTTCAAGAGCAGGTGGTACCTTATCACACTTGATAAGCCTATTAAGGCTGAGGTAAAAAATTTTACAAAGAGCATGAAAATCGAAATAATGAAAGAAGAAACAAGGGAACTAGATTTAGAGATGGACATGGTCATTCCATCACCACTTTACCTCGCTGAGGTCTAAAGAAAAGAAAATGTGACAACTCACTACTATAAGTGGTCTTGATGTTGTAGCTGAATCTTATAGAAAAAGACCAGGACCTGTGTAATGCCACAAATGCCAGCCGATGCTATTCGCACCAGCGGTGCGATTAGCCGCTTCAGCTATTCGCACCAACATTAACCACGCATGCGCATTGAGTTGTCTGATCCGTCATTTGAACCCAATCGGTCCCCTTTTTAAAAAAGGCGGGTTACTACCTTGGTGTAGTTTATCATCTTTTAAACGTTGGCGACTTTCAAAAGATTAGATAGGAAAATGGGTTCCTTTTCTTAGCTATATAAAAAGAAGGAACACATTTTCTTTTATTAAAGTATATATATGTATATAAAAAGGGCAGATTTTTATGTTTGCAATGTTTATCGTTTTCCTGAACGGTTGGAATAGTTTAAATGACTGATTTGGGGGGGGACAAAATCTTGTTTACATTTTTTGTACTTCTTAGAATACATTTAGTTTCAAAGATGTATTTTGCACAATCAAGACTTTAATTCATTTCTCTTTGAAAATGTTTTTCTGAGAAAAGATAAAACAAATTTGACAGAGGATTTCTGTGTCGAAAATTTAGGCATGAAATAAATTAAAAGCGATTAAATGAAAAATAATCATATAATACTGGTTATTAAGAATTTTGTATGCCTGTTTATTTTTTTTAATAGAAATACTTGGCATTTTCAGGACACAGAGTATTTCAAAGAACCTTGAAATATTAGTACAAACACATTAATAATTAAATTAAATAAATTATGGGATGTAATTTAAAAGACAGAAGAGATTGTAGAGAATTAAATTTAAAATTGCACCCAAATGATTTATCAGCATTTTATAGTTTTATTCATAAGTAACTTTGATTTTGAAATATGGCATTTAAACCTATAAATATGTGTGGATACTGAAAAAGTGATGAATATATAGGGATATTATAATTTTCAGTAAGTTTTCTTATCGAATAATAAATTCTATGGAGTATAGTCTGGACACCGGTCGAGATCGATATCGGAAAACCAATCGGGATTCTCTTTCCGCTCGACAACAGAAGGGAGAGCAAGTCTGGCCCCTTTCAAATTCCGTCGGCGGAAAGTGAAGTGGAATTCCGTGCGGAAGTGACGTTTATTGCATAGCAACCAGTCTATCTCACCTCTACACATATTCTTTGCCTCAGACTCAGGGGAATTGCTCAAGGCTCAGGGGAAGGGGGTAGTTTGTTGTCAAAGGGGCTGTTTCGCACGTGCTTATTACTGAGGATGGGAGTAGAAAAAAAATCGAGTTCGAGTAAATGGTGAATTTTTTCGAAAAAATACGCTGCTGGATTTAGTAAATACACATACTGCTGGATTAGTATGGAAAAAAGAAATGGGGAACGTTAATGGATATTTTAAACGCAGAAAGGAATGGCCTTTTCAAAAATTTCAGGTATGTGAAGAAACGTAAACATAATTTTACGTATGATCTTTTGCAAAATGGAAAATTTCTAAAAGTTATATGTTTTGTAACTATTTGTTAACAGGAATTTTATGATTAAAATACATTATTTTGTCTGGAAAGGTTATGCAACAACGTCATAAGTCAAATCAGTGAAATATAGCACCGCGTACGCGTGTTTAATATTCCTAATGAATTGGAATAAAAAAAAATTTAATTTTTAGCAACCCATGATTATATCAATAATTTTATTTATTCAGAATTATACCTATCACGTAGCTACAAATATACTATGTATCGCAGATACCAATAATCAGTGGGTAAAAATATAACAAACATTCTAACAAAAGCAATAGGAAGAAAAATAAAAAAAAAATAAAATAACTGTAGGGTTAAATCATAAAACATATTATCTTGCACGCATACACACATATATATATATTAACATATGCATTGAAAGGAAATTGCCAATACATATTCCTATTTTATCCCTTTTTAAATCGATCCCACCAGTGACCGTGTTGTAAAACTGCTGAACCACTAGATAGTTCGGTCCGAGGTCCAGAATACTGCGAACGGGTTTGTTACATTACTAACATATCTCTGATAACCAATATATCTGTCATTACCAACATATTTCTCGAAATTTCCAAAAGCATAAAATTAAGGCATACAAAACCTGTTTTAAATAATAACTATATGTATATTAAATGTATTATAAATATATTAATATATGCACTGAAAAGGAAATTGCAGTACATATTCCTATTTATGCCCTTTTTAAGTCGATCCCACTAGTGGCCGAGCGGTAAAATCTCAGAACACTGGTTATGCGGTCCGAGGCTCGAATCCCGCGAACGGGCTGGACGCATGGGCGTCATTACCAACGTATTTGTCATTACCAATATATCATTGGTAATGACAGATATATCATTGGTAACTTCCAGAAGCATAGAAGTTTAAGGCACAGAAAATCTGTTTTCTATATATAAAACTGTATAAATATATTAACAGATGCAGTGAAAGAAATTGCAGTACATATATATTTATACCCTTTTGAAATCGATCCCACCAACGGCCGGTAAAATCGCTGAACACTAGAAGTTCGGTCCAAGGTTGGAATCCCGCGAACGGGCTGGTTGCATAAACGTTTTTGTGGTTTTCCCCATGTGTTACGTGTATACGAGCTAGTTTTCCTTGGAATGTCCTCCACGAAGGCAACCCTCACTTTAGGCAGATAGCCTAAAGTGTCGAGGCTTTGTCGTAATTACATAAAACCAAAACTAAGCACTTTTTTTATCTGAATAAATATACACAAAACAGATGTAATATCTAAAAGTAGACCACATTAAAAAATCTGATAACTAATTATAAATCTTGCATTATAATATTGACAAGAAATTTAATCGAAATTTGTACAGGAATTTAACTTGTTTTATACAGGAAATTCTAGAAACTATTGGAAATTGACATTGATATCGGTACAGTTAAAACTACTTAAATAAATTTTTAACTCAAAGCAATTTAATGTAAATGTTAAATTTAGGATTGCATAGTTTGAATTATATACTGCATATTCTTTGCATGTCTAATGTATTACATTTTTATACACTACAAATTCAAATAAAAGTAGAGGAAATACATTATAATTTAAAACATAAAATTTCAAAATTTATAAATTACTCATCAAAACATGAAATTAAGTACATTGATATATACATTATTTTCAAAATTACAATTTTAAATTAAAAGTATGCACCCCTTCTTTATATGTGAAAAAGGAAAATACCAAATATATTATTTTCACTAATATTTAATTAAGGCATTGGTAATGTAGAATAAATAAATAATGTAGAATCGTCAGCATCAAATGCGTTATTTCTATCGCGAAATACTCGAGTTTTTCACAAATCTTAAGAAATTAAAATATCTACTACGTA